CCAGACCCAAGCTATGCGTGGTACTTACGCAAGGATTTATGAAAATTCCTGCGGGAAAATTACTAACTCGGCAGCTAGAAAAGCTGGAAGGCTGAAACTTTAGGGGAATGTTTCCTGTCCAAGTACAACTTAGGTATTTCAAATTCAGCCTTGACGGACGCGTGGTTCTTACGTACGGGCACTTAAAATTTTGGCTGAATATCTGACTGAGCAACTAGGTTGCTTTCGAAGAACGATCGTTAAATGGAAATTGTACATCTACTTTATGCAAGATTTATGGTGATTTATGCTAGTGATCGCAAAAGGTAGGTGTAATGCAACAGCCATTCATTCAGTTAATGACTTAAGTAATATTTCGGAGCAAAAACGCATGATCGCATGGGCCCGTCCGGTGCATTCCAGCCTGGGTTTAATATCAATAATATGCTTTTTTTTTTATCAGTAATATGCCTTTTTTCTTTCACCAATGATACAGAAACGCATTAAAAAACTGACCGGACCATTCACGAAAAAGTTAAACCCATAGGCGCTTTTAAAAATAATTAGCAGCGCGCACCAGGATAGCCAATGCGATTATGAGTTTTACGCAGCTCCACCCAGCGGACAGCTGCTGATGAGAATGTTCAATGTTTTACAGTTTAGCATGCGCAAAAGTAGAAGTGTTGTCCGATTAACGCGTTATAAATTTTCCACCAAAAACTTCATGCGTCCGTACGTGAAATGTAGGCACATGAGGGAGCTGAATTTAAATTCGTAGGATCGTACAAGGGTAGAAACATATTGAAATAATTGGCCAACGCACGGGCTGCCCGTGCGAAGATGCGTTTTTTGCATAGCTCCCAGAAGATTTTTGTCGCTAACGGCACTAGTTTTACTGGCAGATGCTTCTAACTAAAAGAATTTCAGACTGCCCTCCAGGACTGTCAGGAAACATCCCTTCAAAATCCCAGTCTTCTAGCTTCTCACCTTCCCGAATTACCAACTTACCCGGAAGAAACTTTCAAGAGCCCGTACGTAGGCACCACGCTTACCCGAGAGAAGGGGTTTGAGTGCATTAATACCTAGTTGGACGGTGAACATTCCCTTAAGATTTCAGCGTTCTAGCTTCTCAGATCCCCGAGTTATGAACTTATCCAAGAAAAATTTTGGCGAGCCCGTACGCGGGTACTACGATTACCCGGGGGATGAGTTTCAATGCTTAACATCTGCTTGGACGGGGAACATCCCCCTAAGATTTCAGCGTTCTAGCTTCTCAGATTCCCGAGTTATGAACTTACCCCAAAAAAACTTTGGCGGGCCCATACGAGGGTACCACGCGGGTTTTGGCGCCCATTTTGGGGATTGGGGCCGGTACGTGCATGTAGATTAAGTTCTCGAAATTTCAGCTCCACAGTCCTGAGATGAAAGTGCGTGATAGACGCACACACAGACACAAAGACGCACAGACACACGAACACGCAGACAACCCCTTGTCAATATGCGTTTTTGCATTGCATAGCTGCAAAAAACCCATAAAAATTGCAGCTTTTTATCTGTCTGGATCTCAAACTAAAAATTTCCCTTGTGGAATTTCACCTGCCCACATTTAAAATATAAGTGTACATGAAAGTTGACTTTTTCCACGACTGCACTTTGACAGAAAGTATCAATCCAAATTT